ACGCCAAGGGTCCACGCGATCACCTCCGGTGAGCGTTGAGAAAGAAAAAAGATGATGACGACGATGATGACGACGACGACGACGATGACGACGATGATGACGATGATGACGACCACGACGACATCAAAATAAAAATAGATTTTAATACAAACCACTGCAGGCATCGGCAGGCTATAGCCACTGTTCTTTTTCTAAGAGAAGGAAGAGTAACTATGAAGCCATTTGGGGACGTGTGTTGTTGCGGGGCGGGATTATATACAGCAAGACTCCCAACCAGGAAGATTGAGCAAGAAATCTTTGATCCTTTGGAAAGACTCCTCCGTTCCCCAAATATCCCCTGCATTCTCCCCATCTCGAACATTTCGCCAAAAGCGAGACTTGCGTTCGATCCTTCTGCTCTGCTCTGCTCCTTCCTCCCTCCCCGCGACAGCGGAGGACACCCCACCCAAAAAACCGCCAAACCGCCGCTTCCCCCGGCTTGAAGCGGTCGACAGGCGATGGTGGGTCCTTCATCCATCCAGCGCCGGACTGTTGGACCAGCTCGTCCAACGACTCGGGCACGCCGCATCGATCCGACGGATTGCTGCGGTCAGCGGTCGACGCGAGGCGGGCGAGAAGGGCGGGGGAGAAGGGCGACCAGAACGAGACGTGAGTTTTGGACGGGTTGAAAGGTTTCGGATGTGTTGGAGATTCCTTGGGATCTGTTCAGCGGGGAGATTCGGATCTGAAATCAGGACAAAAACGGGTGACACCCAAAGCAGGAGACTGGGTGAAACCGAGCTTCTCCACTTCCGAGCTGACCCCCAGACGGAACCGACCCAAAAACGAGTCACAACCGACAAAAAAAATGACGAGCTGAGCCTCTTGTTCATCGAAGTTCTCTGAATGTCTCCTTGCCCTGAAAAGAACGTTGATGAAAATGGGGGATCTCTTGCCCCTCGTCCCTTGCCCCTCCTCCCAAACCTGCCAAGTCGTCGCCACGCGACATGGGCATAGTGTTCTCCCACGCGCTGCACCACTTCCAAGTCCACCACGTCCTTCACCTTCAGGTGATACCGACGACCCGACGTGATGGACTTCTGCACCAAGCGATTCGCCTGCTTCCGGAAGAGCGGAGAGCGGAGCGGGTTCGAGAGTGTGGAAAACCCACTCCTTTTTCAGAAGGGTGGAGTTGAAGGAAGGTGGAAAATGATCTAAACACTTATGTTGTTCAAGATGTTTGAGATGTTGGTTATTCTTTTGAGTTCTGTTCTAGAGTGTCTTTTGAATTTGTGTCATCGCATCTTTTGCTACTTCAACAATATGTATATACCTGTATGGGGTGTCCTCCTCTTTTGAACACACTGAGCCCGAAGAATGTTCCCAACCAACAGCGATCAATGTTCCCAACCCTCACAAGCGAGGAGATCAGACAAAACTGGGTCCCCGTGGTCTTCTCGAAACACCCAGCATGAACTACAGTCAACCATACAGTTACACTACATACAGTCAACCAGTTCATCTAGAATTTATGAGTATATAGGAGTTCTATATAGTTCTATATTTATATGTATAGGAGTTCTATATAGTTCAACTATGTTCATATTCATTAGTTCACCAGGTCTTTCTTGAGACCCTGCAGCTGGTCCCGCCGTCCCCCGAAAACCGGTCCCGATACTGCCGCCTCGATGAGTCGCCCCGAAGCCCAGGCGTCCAGCAAACGCTGCCTGACCGACGCGACCGGTCGACGCCCGGGGACGAAGCGTGGGTGGCGCGCGCGGTGGGTGACGATGGGACGAGGAACGAAGCAAGGAGACGCGGTGACTATGGGGAGAGATGTGTGGATGAAAAAGAACAGCAAGACTATGCAAGACTGGTGAGCACAGAAGAAAACGGAAGGAAACTAACTCATGGTTCCAGACATGATGGCCCAATTGACGGTTCTGAACTGTTTTTGGTCTGGAGTCGGGAACTGTTCAAAAGAATGTGTTGTTCAAGCGCTTGTTGCATTTTGTGGGAGATGATCCTGTGTCCCGTGTTTCTTCTATCTACTCTCTTCGCCTTCAAAAAGAATCTATCAATTTATACTGAGGACCAATGACATGGACATCCGTGCCAGGCAAGGCAAGTTTCCAGGCAAGTGTGCCCGCAGTCGTTTCCAGAATGCTCATGTCATTGGCAGTCAGTATAAGTCCACCGGTCAGGACCGCAAGACCAAGCAAGGTCTTCTCCTGTTTAGCCATGCCGCTTGTCCTCCTCGTCGCTTTGGAACTTGGTGGCACGTGGCTTGGACTCGTCGGGAAAGTCCTGACCTCAGAAGTGGCTTCCGAGTGGAATGGCCAACAATCAGTCCATTAGTGTCCAAGAGGCACTCTGCAGTCGTGTTCAACACACCTGGTGTATGTATTTGTCCAGGGAGTCATGCAGCTGGTGCCTAAAGCGATGAGCTCAGTTATGATTGGAAGCCTGATGCCATCCTTTCCTTCAGAGTGTCACTGGAGTGGAAACAGTAGAAACTGTAAGACTTGCAAAACATTATGACGACAAAGCGATTTCAGAATATGCTCGGAGCCCGTTTGTTTGTTTTTTTACATGTTGATCTTCTATCTACGTACCCAGCATCACCGTCACCCAGCATCATCTCCCGTTGTGCCTACCTAAGGCCCTCAAAACCGTGCCCCTGCAACGAAATATCACCCGAAGAGTTCCTGACTTTGCTCTTTTGGAGGACCAAACCCGTCACCTGGCGCCCTCCTTCATTCATCCGTCGAACAACGTTGTTCATTCATCCCCCCAGACACGAGCCGCCTGGAACTGCCATACTTACCTAGATTGGGGTGTGATTTCAAGGGCCCATGAAGGCATCCAGTCGCTACATGACGTGTTTGGGGCCGAAAAAGGTCGCCCAGCCCGGTCCCAGTCTGCACCGATCGCCCTCTCGGCGGCGTCCGGTCGAGGGGTCGGAAGAACACGCTTCGACAGCCCCTCCTTTGTGCCACACACCCACACACCGGCAGGAAGGAAATGGGCAGGGAAAAGGCAGGCCATAACCCACCATGCCAAGAGAGGTTAAGTAACCTTATAGGACCTTACTGGGGTACCTATGGGATAGCCTATAGGGTCCTTCAACCTCTGTTGGTGTTGATTGTCTTGACCTCTTTTGCAAGTGTGGTGTCTCAACCCAAAATAGTTGGGCTTCGCAAACGCGAAGGCTGAGCGGCGCAGTGCAGAACGGTGGGGAGTCCCTCATGTTCAGAGCGACGACTGGTCGAAGCGTGTGCAGAAGGAAGGAAGCTTTCAACACCGGCCCTCACAGTCATGTGGATTGGCTAAAATCTGCTAAAATCTGGCATCTCAAACAGGGCACCTGATAGAAGAAGAACTTGCCATCTTTCAGTCACTGTAAGTAGTTACTGCTCACTGCTCAAAACCTGCGGCTGACACCTTCTGCTGCTGAGGTGCTGTACCTGGAGGTGCTCAAAACCTGCGCCGGTTTTGGGAGGCTCATCGTCTTGGCTTTCGGAGACGTTCTCTTGGGCCGCCGCGTTGGGGAACTTCCACCGCTGCTGAAGCTTTGCATGGAGGTCACATCGGTCGTCAAGAGCTTGGGAGATCCCAGGGCGGAGTTCGCAGCGCCAGGGTGCGCAGAGTTCGCCGCGGTGTTCGCAGCTTTCGGCTTCGTCGTCGGAACGAAACTTGGGGGATCTGTCTTGGTCTCTGTCTCTTCCCAGATTGGAGCGCCTCGCCACTCGTCTGGCGGCGGGTTTTGCACCGAGTGGGGGCGCGATGGAGTCTTGATGGGCGTCAGGTAGTCACAGGAGAAGGGTTTCATCGTCACAAAGCAGGAGAGTGGGCCGAAGCCCAAATCACACAGTGGCACCTGGGTCTGACGGTCCTGGATTTCGACATCGACGTGATTCGCCATGTCAGTGAAACGTAAGGAAGCTTCTCCAGGAGCAGTGCAAGCAGAGTGCCAGGAGCAGTGCGTTGATTAAGTCTTAAAAATAGAAACTAACAAGGCAATACGGCAATACAAGCATCTGTCTGTTCACTCACGGACCTTGGCTTCTAAAGGGCAGCTTTGGAGTCCAAGAATTCCCGGTCTTAAGTCTTGTATGGGCTGAGTTTCTTTATGTGAGGCAGTTTTTGAGGACTTGTTCATCTGACCAGATCTGGAAAGACTGACCGGATCGACCTGCCATTGGTGTAAATCTCAGACTGTTGAGCCAAAGGCTAAAGAACTAAAGAGGGAATGAGAGGACTGGCCATGTTTGATGCTCAGATCAAGATCCTGGTTGAATAAGGACACAAGTATGGAGGATCTGTACTGATCTGTACATATCAAACTTTTAGCATCTTTCGGCATACAAGCCAAGACTCCACAAACCTCATGCTTTTTCACTTTGCTGCTTTCTTCTTGCGCTTCCTCGACATGGGTTCTGGCGCAGAGCCGCGACCGCCAGGACTGGCGCTCCGCGTGGTCTTCGATCTCTTTTGAGATGCGAAGATCCGTAGGCCGGCAGGGCCGGCAGTTGATGATGTTACCGCAGTGGCGATGTGCGCCTCGGTCTTGGGCTCAGCTTTCGCTACAGCACTGGCTGCGGCTGGACTGGGCCTGGCTTTCCGCTTCCGTTTCTCCTTCAGCACCTCAAGCATACCCTCCGACTTCCGGAACTCCGGATTCGTCGGATCAATCTCGAAGTCGGCGTGGTTGAAGACCTTGGAGATGCGTCGATCATTGACATTCATCTTGAAATGATCCAAATCATCTGGATTTGGGCCTTGATCATGAGCTTTTCTCTGTGGGCCCCGGAAATTGAAGCCACGCTCAGCTTTCTGGTCATCCATCAGTAAATCCAGATCTTCGGTCTCTTCTGGCGGAAGTGTCGCATCGTCGTTCTTCATCTTTTTTGAGCTTCTCCCTATCTTCCCTTGCCTGCTGCTTCCGCTCCCTCTTTTTTCTGCTTTTTCTTTTCAAGGTACTTCTCCCAAGCACTCTGAGGTTGCTGCTGCAAAGTATGGACTCCATGACCCTCCTGCTTGGCTCGCTCGGCCAGCTTGTCTTCCAGCGCACTTGCTTTCACACTGAAGGTGGCCTCCATATCACCTTCGTTCTTGCTTTTCTTGAGTCCTTCCATGTCACTATCCTCACTAGGGTGAAGGCTTTCAGAGTCACTGCCCGCCACCAAAGCTTTCAAATCTCCTGCTCCCTCCTTCTCCTCATCCGAGCTGGAAGCCAGGTACGCTTGCAAGTCCATTTCCGCCATCTCTTGCGGTGTAAACCTCTTCTTCATCAAATCCTTCCGCCGCTGGACCGGGGCTTCATCCCAGGTGCACTTGACCTGCGAGTTAAAAAGATTATTTTTTTTAAAAAAAAAAAAACATGCAAGCAAGTTCAAAGCATATTGCACAGCGACGGTCCGATGGGTTCCGCTTGGTTGATCACCTTGAGGATTCCTCTTTCCACCAATCAAAGAACATTGAGAACTATTCTTCCTTTCTCCTAAACAAGTGCTGTCTTGGTGCCACAGCCTCCGACAGCCTCCCCACAACCCCCCCCCTGACCAACCCTGATCTCTCTGTCACTCCACGCCTTCGTGTGCCTCGATGCCGAGCGCAACATCCCCGGCCCGGCGAACTTGCTCGGCAGCTCTGTGGCCACGCTGCTGGGCGCGTGGGGCGGCGCCACGTCGGCCGGCACGAAGCGCAGGTCCAGTGAGGAGGGGCACACGCCTCGGGGACCGGAGGACCGGCGGGACCGGGAGCGGCGCATAGCAGCGCTGCTGCTAGCGCGGGAGCAGTGGAGATGGGGAGCTAAGAAGGTGGTGTTGAAGGTGGGAAGGTGGTATCTCAATTAAAGGTTGGCAGTGGTAGAGGGGCAAGGTGCACACTCTAGACCTCACCTGAATTGTTGGATCAACAAGCAGGAGATGCTCGGTTCTTCGGAGAAGGTCGCTCGTGCACTTGTCGCTAGCCAGGGTCAATTTAGAATATCTTGAATCAATCCGACTTCCAATCCCATCTATTGCTGCTGCCTTCAATCCTCCCTCCTCCCTTAAGAACCGGACCATCAGCCTCAAGGCCGTCCATCTGGTCGTAAAGCCACGCCGCAGTGGACACTGAATCACATTCCACCAAGGCCCAAGAGTATTTGGTCCGGTTCATTTGGTATCGTCCTGGCATCAACGTGCGCACGCGAAGCTCAGGAGACGGAGCATGCTGTCTCGGCTTTCTTGTTGAGAGATCTGTCAGAGAGTTCGGCCATCCATTCATCTAAGGGGTGTGACTCAATCTCTCACTGAGAAAAGCATGTCCGTCTGGTTGCTTTGAGGAGATGTCAAAACCTTGAGAGATCTTCGGATCCATCCACATACTTTTGTCAGAGGGAGTGATGGCAAAATGGCCAGCAAGACTTAAGGCTTCTTGTTGCGCTTCTTCATTTTCTTCAAGTCCACGCTGGCCACGTGCATCAAGGGTTGGCCCTTCTTTGGCCTGGAGAGGAGTTTAAGCAAAGAACTTCTGAATTTAGCTCCTTGAGGGACAACGATTGAAGACTCAAAGGGATAGGTCGCATCAAGTAAAAACGGGTGCAAGGCTACGTGGAGCAGCTACATGTTGCATTGCATAAGCAGCGGGCCCGACCTCTCTTTCGAGCTGCTGCAAGCCGTAATCCGAAGGATAAACGCTAATCTTTTCAACCTGGTTGGTCGGCCGGACTAAGCTGTCAACAGGAGACCCAGATTCGGCTTCAAGATGTTTCAAAGGGGTTCTCCCAACTTGAGACAAACTCCAAAAAGTGGTCTTGAAAAGCTGCAGCCCAGCTAAGCCATGAACCAAATCCGAAACCAAACAACTCTCCTTTGCGTCCAACAAACCAAACCCAAAAGATCCAAAAGCTTTCTGAAGGTCGACGTATACAGAGCAACACTTCCAGCTTGGCTCTTGGATCTGGCATTGGCCAGATAGGTGCGGAACATCACCTGTCGCGCGGCGCTGTCGCGCAGCGCGACAGCGCCCCCGGTCTTCCGTCTTGGGGAGCACTGACCGTCTGCCGTTCGGTGGTCGGCGGCCACCGAAGCCCCTCGCGGCCGGCGGGACCAACGGAGTGAGTTCAGATCTGGCCCGAAAAGCCATGTTTTGCATGTTGGAAAATCCTTTTGTCTCGTGAGTGTTCCACCTTGGTTGCAGGCGCTGGGAACGATGGCTCAGGGCAAACGTTGATCTTGTAGTGCCTGTTCCACACACAGGCGAAGTCATCCACAAAACCACAACCCCCTCCCCCCCCAAGAAGATGTTTCTCAACGCCCAAAGCACCAAATACCGACAGCCTCACTCAGTGTGAGTCACGTTGCCCCCCAGGGCGGTCGACCCCGGGTCAAATGAGCTGATTCCTTTGTAAGGGATGTCCACCTCCCATGGATTGGGTCGGTTCTCACTCACAGCCATTTCAGTGTGATGTCTCTCACTCGCTTCGTCGACCGTGCGGCACAGGCGTCTCGACCGTGCCGTTTCGTCTCGCGCACGCCGACGACCGTGGCGGGTCGGGCGCACCATCAAGTCTCCCGCTGAGACGTGATCCCAATCACAGCCCATCACAGCCAGTCGGGAGGTCGCATCACCCTGTGGGATTTCCTCTGGAACCGCCTCATCGTGGACCTCATCCTGGATCAAACTCAGTGGTCTTAAAGGACAATTGGTTTGTGTTGTACATGTTGTATTTATATAGTACAGAAGTCTTTGCAAGAAGAACTGCTGCGCCTCCTCCTCATCCTCCTCCTCTGACTCCTCCAAGTCTTCCATTTGATCCGCATCTTCATGCTCTGCTTCATCGACCTCCTCTGCCTCATCTTCAATCTTCTCCGCACCTTCTACTCCCGCTAGCTCGTAGAACTCCCTCAGCTTCTGCTTCCCCGCGTTCCGCCGAAGGCGTTCCCCGCGCGCGTCCACCCGAGGGGTCTCTACGAACTGCTGATCCTTGAACATCCGCGCGAAGCGCCCATCCACCTGCACGCGCCGCACATGCCGCGGCGCCCGCTTGAAGCGCGGATCCTTGGACGTGTCGAAGCGATCCATCGCGCCAAACCGGTTCCCCGGCGGGGGGTTCCCCGGAGCTGTTCGACTGCCGCGGGCGCGAAGGTCGGAAGCTCGGGGCGCGCGAAGTAGGTGGGATTTGAGGTCCAAAAAGGTTTGGAAGGTCGCGATCCGCGAAGATCAAATGACACATCATGAGATGGGTATTGAAAACAAAAGGGTTTGTAGATGTTAGTGTCTGAGCTGCTTCAAGGATTTCTGGATCCAAAAGGAGCTCTGAAATATGATCGCATTGTGAGTCTGCACCAGCTGCACCAGCCATGCTAGCGTCTTATTGCTGATGCTTTGAGCCGTAGCTGGCGATGCAGGCTTTGGGCATGGAGCGTGTATGATCTTTCAAGGAGCCAAGGACAAAAAAGCCGTCTCAACAGCCAACATGCCTGGCCAGCCTGTCCCTTAGGTCATAGCAGGTCAGCACCACCTCAAGATGTTCTTTTTCCACACGTCTGGATGCCCACGTCAGGAGCGCACCACGAGCACCGCGCTGGTGCGGCGTGCTGGAGCGGCAGGGTCGGGGCACACACCTCCGGTCGCACCATCTCTTCAGCCACCAGGTGAACCCCCTTCGTTGAAGAACCATCATGATCTCTGATATGGATACAAAGAGGTTAAGCATGGGTTTGGAGCAGGGATACGCAGAAGGCATATTGAACTCTTATGCAATGGACTCTACATCGCAAGTGTTGAAGGCACTTCATATGGATACAAAGGGCCCTAAAGAACTGGCCCACCACAGCTGCCTTGCAGCCCAGAAACTGGGCGAGTTGGTGTGAAATCAGTAGAGGAGGTCATCACTCGGCTGGCTTGCAGGAGAATCTTCGAGCTCCCATTTGCCATCCTGGACACCAAGAGAAGGGAGGAGTCTATGTTTACATGCCCTGGGACTCTGGGTGCTTGCAACACAAACCCTGGAGGCCATTGGAGTTCTCGATTGGACGCCATCAGGCCCGCCGAAAACCACAGAAATGCAACTGCCCGGGGCGCACATCTGCTTCGACATGGCCGAGGTGAAACAAACCGCTCGGTCGCGGGGTTTAACCATCAACCTCTCGGTGGGCAGCCTGTATTTCAGTACTTCATGAGAACTGACTCAGTAGTGAGCCCCAGTATGTCCCCACCTCCTCCGTTGACAGGCTGAAGGGGACATCATCGGCAATGTACTCGGAGTCGTCCGCGAAGTCATCCTGTACGCGAAGTCAAAAAGTGTCCCAGAAACCATGGAAAAAGGAGAGAGAGAGAGAGACACACACACAAAAAAAAAAAACGTCCTAGCAAAACAATTCCTGTTGGCATATTGTTTATGATCATGTGACCTTCTTGCTTCATGGACGTTTTCCTCATAACTCATCAACTAGTAACTGGTCTTTGGTCGCCGTCCTCCGCAAACTCATCTTCTCCAAAGTCATCTGCATCCTCAAAGTCCTTGGCTTCCCCGGAAGCATCACCGGGCCGATGCTCGGGACGCTGCTGGAAGCAGCCTCCGGCGTTTGAGGTCTCCCCTTAGCTCCCCTCCCAGTGTTCCAGAGAGGCGAGGGATGCCATGGTGGGGGTGGATGGTCACCGCACACGCTGCTGGCACCTGCAAAAAAAAAACCTGATCCGGCCGAAAAACTAGTTGTAGGATTCTCCCCAGGTTCAACCAAGCTGACATTGACTGGTACACCAAATTACTATCGCCCGACTTCATCCAACTTCCTTCTAAGGATCCTCCTCGATCTGTTGTGAAAGGTCGAAGCCTCTGTCATCCTGGCGCTGCGCCATCTGTGTTTGTGGCCCAAACGCCATCGGTTCGAATGGTCATCCGCGGACGCAAGCCGCTCGCGCGGACGAAATCCGCTCGGGCCATGTCCGTCGCTGCGAACTGACGGTGCTTCGTTCAACGAAAGGGGCCAGGTTTCTGCAACTTCGAGTTTTGTATGTAGTGCTACCATGTGCTGGGGTGTCACCCTCACCCTCCTTGATCAACGTTTTGTCCAAGCGGCACAGAGTATTTTTGGGCCTGTGGAGTTAAATGTTAAATCTGTGGAGGAAATTTCTGCAAAGCTATGGAACGGAAATCCGCTGTTCAATTCAAACAGTCACGCCATGTGGCGCATCAGACCCCAAGCCAGTTCTGTCCTCCTCCTCAGGGTTGTCAGCTTTCCACTCTTCGAAAAGCTCCCTCTCCGTCCTGGAGGCTTTTCAAACCTTTCCGGTGGAGAAAACAGTAAAGAATATGAAGAACTCCAAGTTTACCCCAAGAACGACACATTCACCTCACCACCTGAAGACCAATGAGAATAGACCTGAAACTTTGGTGCCTTGTCCTGTGATCTTTTCAGTTTACTGGGGTTTTGCCCAAGGGAATTGTCTGTTTTCCAGAGACCCGCTACGCGCGACATTCGTGAAGCCCCTCTGCCAACCAGCACGCTTCAAGCACAGGTCAAGTATGTACCCCGGACAACAGCTGCTTGATGTGGCTGAGCTGCTGGGCATAAAAACAGAAGATCCGGGAACAACAACTGCTTAGGGTAAGCACCGTGTCAGGATGGTTTATCAGATGGAAAATACATAATAGTCAGGGAAGGTTCATAAACCACCCGAACTGGATGGTGCTGGTAGATCTACTTAGACTTCGTCGATGTCTCATCGATATGTCTCCCACCTGTCTCCACCAATCGCTCGCCCGCTCGCACTCCCCTGTCTCGCCCCTCCCTGTCTCGCCCCCTCCTGGCCACCCAGCTATCCGTCTCATCGTCGGGTTCCGCGGCGTCTTCGAGCCACTCATCCACATGCGCCACATAGGGACTCCAAGTAGCCTGACCACCGGAGCGAGTCCGCGGCGGTCTGAGGGGTCTCAGCCGTCTCAGCCGTCTCCCCCTTTCTCCGCATGAAAGCCGCCTTTCTCCATGCCGTGGGCTGTTGGGGGGCTCTCCAACCCAGACATGAACCACGTTTCTGCGCGCCGGTCACGAGCTCCCGCCGAAGTCACGTCGCTCCACGACCCAGGTCCGTCCGACGCGGTGGTCGCTCCGTCCACCGGGCCTTTTCGGCCTCCGACTTCTCGCGATCTCGCAGTTGCTCCCGCGTCAAGCCTGGAGAGGTATAGGGCGCTCCCGAGAGGAGACCGGGCGCCGGTATAGACTCTGATGAATGACGACAGGGTGAAAGAATGAAGAGGGTGACAGGGTGACAAGGAAATGTACTGATGATCTGATAGGGGTCATCGGCCTTGTGTGAAGGAGCTTTCTTAACTTTCATTGCTTTGTTTCAGAATTGTATATACTTGGCTGCTCGACCATTATTCAACTGATGCAGCTTGTGCGGCGTTGTGTGATCAGATTCTGGGTGGGCGTGTTTGGCATGACAAATTCCAACAATAGATCATCATGAAAGGAATTGATTGAATAGATTACTGTTCGAGTATTCCTTCCAACAGGTATGTTCATGACGGTGCGCTGCCATGATGAGACCATGAAGAAAGCATTGAGAAAACATGCCGGGCTTGGTTGGGATTGACGGATATGCAACGCTCACGATGCAGAATGCAAAGAATCGCAGCATGGAATCATGAACGCGCTAAAGTTTTGCACATGTGCATGTGCGCATGCCATTTGCAAAAGTGCACTGGAAAATGGCCTTGGTGGATGGCACGTTATTCCCTAGGGCTCCAACCATATCCTCAGAAGGTGGTTAGACCCCCCAAACCCACCCTAACCATCTTCTCAGGAGGTAGTTGGAGCCCTAGGGATTGTTATTGCATTTTGCCTGACTGGTTTTGGGTCCATCAACAATCAACCCATGGATGTATAGTAAGGCTCCCACGCTCGGGTCGGGGATCGCCCATGGGTTGAATGCCCTCGCCGGTGCGTCGCTTCGCTGCCACCTGGCAGTGTGAGACGGTTTGAATGACCCGAGTTGTCCTCGACTGTGGAGCAGTGCTTTCCAACGCCAAGTGGGGGGGTCAAAACCTGAAGCCCTAACACAATGTAGCTTGACCTTCCAGGTAGGTCAACCAGTGGTTCTTATGCACACCAGTACTCCCCAGAACCCACCAAGAGGTGAAGGGCTGTGGGAAGCGTCAGACAGGAGCGCAAGTCGTGTCGGTAGGTCAACCAGGGCATCCTGTTTTCAAAGCCAAGTCGATGTAAAGCAGGGCAACACCAGAGCCCCAGTGTTGACCATGTTGCCTTGTCCGCGAGCTTCGTTGATGGTGGTCTGTTGGCCACGAGGTCAATATGTAGGCTATTCTTCACCTGCATATCAGGCACCAGCGGCGTTGGGCGAGGAGAGGATAAGACCCATACAAACACGAGAACACGGAAGACCTCCTAAAACGCTGGGCTTTCTTGCAGATCAAAGCCAAAACCCCAGTGTTTGATTGGAAAAGTTCTCCTGCATACGGCGTTGCCTTCTCCACCCAGAATTCCATCTGTGCACCACGAGGATACGCAGTCCAGGCATATTTGTGGACTCGCTCCCAGTTGTAGAAGCCATACCTTGGCCAAAATATCACTGCCGTTACAACTCCCAGTTGTGAAATGAAACCATCAACCAGCCGAGGCATCTCGAATCCTTTTCTTCACACATGTGTATATAATGTATATATATATATAAAGACTCACCGCGGTTTCTTATTTTCACCTTGCAGTGCAGACCTAAGTGGTCAAAATGTAAAAGGAAAACTATGCCTTAAAATGTTCTCGATGGGCCTCCCTGGCCCGAGTCCCCCCCACTGTACCTCGCCACCCCGAGGATACAGTGAGCCAGGAACTCAGGGGTGTCCTGGGCCCCGCCACACCGGGGTACGTCCAGGCCGCCACCCCTCTTCTTGTTCCTCTTAAGCATATTTTTATACCGCCGGCGGTGTCCCCATTCAAAAATATGATCATTTCCTGGGTTTCTTGCGCTTCCTTCCAGTTCCCCCAGCCCTGCCCATTCGGGCATGCTCAAGGGGTTGGAGCTCCAAAGATTTAGATCTCTCATACTGTCTTCGAAAAGCC